GCTAGCGTTATGGTGTTTGGATTGGTGGCTTCCGATGGCTAAAAAATGGACCCGGTGTTCATTCCAGAAGACGACAAGGTCATCACGGAGATCTACATCGGGATTTTAAGTAAGTATGTTCTTCCGTGGATCAAATAAAAAAATGTGGTCCGAAGCCAAATGTTGTATTTCAATAAGATGGGGCTCCGTGCCACACCTCGAACCGCACTCAGAAGTGGTTGCAGGAACATCTTCCGTTCTGGGTGAAGGATATGTGGCCGCCATCCAGCCCCGATCTTAATCTGCTGGATTACTCACTATGGCGCGTCATGAAGGCCAAAGCCTTTTCTAAACGCCACCCGAGTACAGCAAGCCTCAGACAAACATTGACCCGTACCTGGAGAGAAATGGATCCATACTACATTATTAGAACCGGCCGTGCATTCCAGAAGCGTGTGGAGGCCTTAATTACAGCAACTGGAAACTCGATCGATGATTAACATAGTTAAAGACTCTAAGAAACATCCCCCTTTTGAATAAATAAAAAAACTCGAAAACGAAAAACTATCCCTCGGCTAAAAAGCACTTTAATAAAGTAAAAAACAAAATTGTCAATTCGACCTTTTGTCCCTTCGGCCTTTTGTCGATTTTGACGTTTTTCCGTTCGACATTTTTTTCCTTCGACCTTGCGTCGTTGGACCTTATGTCCTTCGACCTTTAGTCCTACAAATATGTCGCACATAGAAGTTTTTGACCTAAAATGATGGTCAACGCTCTAAATCGTTAATTTTTCGATGAAACTGGTTCCATGTTTGCTAGTAATATGTTATTCTGTTAAATTGTATGAAAAATTAAAATAAAAAATATACCGTTTAGTGCAATTTGCATTTTTCTCTATTTTTGATGATTTATCTAATTAAGTTTATGTGCTATGTTGCAACATTATTTCATTATCTATCATTAAAAACAACCTAAATATAGGCCAATCCCAAGCTACATTGCAAGTTTTATCGAGGTTTTAAAACATTCTACAAGTCAAAATCATGGTCTTTAGAATCCTCATAAAACCCAAATTGCTATTGAAGATATAACGTTCTAGACTCTGAAAAACTTAATTCAATAAACAGAACTACTAAACATTGCACAAAAGCATCGTTTCATAGAACATAAGAAATGATTTTCAAATAGAGGGCTGGCAAAATCTAGTCATTACTGTATACTATTTCATACTATTTTTTATCTATTTGCACTGCATTACTGAGAGGATCCACTTTTAAAAGAATCTATGCTAAAAGGTACACAATCAACAAGGTCGAAAGACAAAAGGTTGAAAGACAAAAGCTCGAAAGGACAAAACTTCGAAAGGACAAAATGTCGAAAGGACAAAATGTCGAAAGGACAAAATGTCGAAAGGACAAAATGTCGAAAGGACAAAATGTCGAAAGGACAAAATGTCGAAAGGACAAAATGTCGAAAGCACATAAGGTCAAATCATAAAGCTGAGTTTTTTTTTAAGAAAACCATACTTCAAAGAGGTTTTATTCAGGTCCAGAATGATAACTGTGGGATGGCTACGATATATTGTTACCATAAAAAAAATAACAAGGTATGAGATTTATGCATTTCATATTTCAAACATTTGTCTAACTTCCAGGGTTTACTACTCCTATGTGCGCAGGAGCCATCTTAGTGTTTTGTAGTAGATACGTATTTCAACAATAATGTACATTCATCATCATGTATCAAATTCTGCAGATAATTCCAATGGAATTCTAAGAAGAATTCTAATGGTATTGAAAAAATAGTTCCAAGGGAATTTCACGGAGAGCTCCAGCGATGATGATGATTTCTAGGAACTTCTGGAAAGAACTTTTAAAGGAAAGCTGAAGATTATTCCAAGGAAATTTTCAGGAAAATTCAAACCGGAATTCCAAGATAATTCTGAGCTGAATTCCAAGGAAATATTGGGAAGAAATCCATGGTAATTCTGAAGAGTACCAAGTGCCTCTGGTAAAATTTCCAATGTAATTTTAAGAGAATTATGAAGAACAAATTTATGCGAATTTGCGAGAGAATTTTTGAGAATTCAAGAAACAACTTTCTTGTTTTTATGAGAGAATTCTTAGAGGTTTATGGTTAAAATGATAAATGATACCAGAAAGCAGTGTTGGAAAAATATCAAAAAATCAAATCAAAATGCCCAAGATCACGCTTAATTTTCGTAAACAAAAATCAACAAGCAAACATCTGCGGTTGATTTTACAAGCTGTGATATCGCAGCTCGGAAGGTAAAGCTAACAAAACTCACCAACTGCAAATATCACCAAACTGTGGTGAGATTGAGTTTAATGATTTTTGCTTTACACCCTAATGCAACCGAAACTTCCATAACGGCTGGCAGCAGTCCCTTCGTGTCTGTCATCGGTGAAGATTAAAAAGAGATAGCAAACTATACTTTCTCTTTCTAAGAAAACGATGTGGAACGAAATTATTTTTGTCAGCTCTCAGCTTGATTTTTGCACGTTGTGAATAGTCTCACAATGTCAAAGGAGCTTTTAAAATCAATATCAAGCATGTTATAATATCACGCGTGATATTGAGAGCGGATGAGAGCGGAAAAATATTATTTGATTGATTTTTTTTTTGTTCATTAATTTATTTGATAAGGCTCAACCGAATTAACTTTACAGAGCCAAGGATTCTTGGTCACTATACAATACATCTTAAAACTATAGTCAAAAGGTACAACATAATAAACACTTTATCTTCCGCTATCCAAAAAGCCTCCTCCATCAGAATTGGAGCCGCTTCCAGTAGTTTCATTGTATGGCAAATTGTTGTACGCCAACGAGGGTCAGAGCGCGTCCATTGCAGCAATGGACGCAAAACGTGGTCAGCACTCACACACTCATCACGAAACGGTTGCTTTCCAAAGTCGACGACGCATCGACCGAAAGAACTGCTGATGAAGAACAATGAGGAGGACCACACAATGGTTGGTGCCGAGAAAACAGACGATCGCGTGGCACACATCGAGAGTGGCCTGCTTTTGTCGACAGCCGAGTGAACACTGTATTTGATTGATGATTTTGCCAACACTACCAGAAAGAATCCTTAGATTATAATGCCGGAGAACTTCGAGATTAGGGCGTAATTGCTTTTGTAAACAAACACTTCATTTGACGATTTCTCGCGAATTTAAGCTCAATCTCAAAATCTAACAACACAAACAGGTAGATGAATGGTTCCTCTATCATTTGGTATAGTTTGTTCACGAGATTATTCTGTTATTCGCGAGAAATCAGCGATTGAAATGTTTGTTTACAAAAGCAATTACGCCCAAATCTCAAAGTTCTCCGGAATTTCACTATTAAAACCTTTAGCTTTCTGCTTTCAAGGCTTGATGTGTTGACATAAAAAATCGAAACTTGTACTATTCATTCAAATCGTTCCAAAAGCGAATGCAACTCCCCAACGGATTCCTTGGAAAGTACAGGCAATGATAGCAGCAATTGAATCTGCCTTTTCTTCAGCTGCTTGCTATTATTATAGCGCTTTAGCAGCATATCATATGCTACAGTGGTAGTTCGCCTTGGATATTTTTAAAGGGTCGATTAAGCTCCTCGGTTCTCCAGGCATCACTTTATATAGTGGAATTTCTCTACCTCAGGTAGGTCTGCCTTCCAATGTATTGGGGAGGTGAAAAGATCCCGAAAGCTGAGCCACTCATCAATGTCGCTATTGAAGCTCTGCAACTTGATCTGCGGTAAGCGCACATGATCAAGAGCACCTTGTACCGACGATTCATTTATCCGCATGTTTTGCTCTGATGGCTCCTTCATCTCCTTCACCTGGTCTACGAGAAAGGACTTGGCTTCGTAGTAACGGTTGTTGAATTCCCGCCTTTCCTTGTCACAACTCGCATCCCTTCTGAACTCGCTTAATCAGAACATTCTCCGCCTCCCGAAGTTCAGTAACGGATAGGAAAAATCCATTCGTCCGGTTAGTTGTTGGTTTGCGAAGTAAATCCATCAAACGTAGCCAATGTGCAGTGCGGCGGATCATGTCAGTGTAAGTGGAGAATTTTCCGATATATTCCTCATTGAAATCGGCGAACGATGGAGCTACATTTGACACAACTGTACGACGTTTTTATCCGCTCCTTCTCCGAAATTTGGCATAAGTTTCGGCCACTGTTCTGACCTTGCCACCAAAAACGATTGTTCAAGATCTCCTGAGGTGAAACTCCCCTATAAATTAGGTCTGCGGGTTTCTCGAGTCCTGGTACGTGCCTTTAATCACATTTTTCGGTGATAGTTTGTATCTTTGACACTCGATGGGCTACGTACGTTGTCCAAGTTGTAGGGGTTGCTTGAATCTTGCTTGCTTGAAGGACACATCTAGAGTCAGTCCAAAAAAAGGTTCTCATTGTGTCTTTGATAGATGATTGGACCTTTTCATAAAGCAGACTATCCTTTGGTATCAAGATCATTGTTTTGTATGACTATGAGATATTTTCTTCTACTTGGATGGTATAAGTTTGGCATATCAAGAACGTTGAATAACTATTTTCATGAAACATATAGTTAACTGTTCACTTAAAATTGTGATTGTGTAAATCCCTTATTTGTAAGACGAATTGACCACTTTGAGTGTTTCTCATTATTGGAAAACTGAAGAGAGATTTTTATTTCGTTTGGTTTTCCATACGCCATGTACTCTCGCTATTTTTCCCTCGATCAGTTAGTTTTGTAGTTGTTTATCGTGTTCAATTGTTATCGAAATAATAAGCTTATCTTGGCATTCATGTTGACAGTAGAATATCATCTGCAGACCAATTATCTGTTTGATTAAAAGCACAATTGATGAAACCCTATGCTCTACAGCTCAACATTAATTATTTTAAGGCACACCTAAAACAAGTTCATATTTGCATTCATATGTACATCATAACTCCATTAAGCACCAAAATAAAACATCATATTTTCCCACATTAATATCTTATGCAACAAAAACCCAATCCATCCCATCGCAGTTGAACCTTCCCCCGAACATTATAAAAAGGGATCAACCCCTAACCGGAAGTGCTGATTATGAATGTGCATTTTTAATCATGTAATATTCTGAACTGGATTAACGAAAGTGAAATTGCACCTGCACTCCACCAACGGTCAACGTTCTCACATGTATTTACCTACCTCTCTGACACGCATCATTCCCTTCCCTTTCTACCGAGTCCCTTTCAGATCACCGCCGTCCAGCACCGATGATGAAGGATTGCTTCCGACCCTGGCCAACGGACATCTCGGCTTTACGGTCTTTGGTGATGCGATCTACATGAACGGTTTGTACAACGGTCACCGAGGGCTGAGTCATAGGGCGAGAATAGCAAACATTGCCAACATTCGTCTCGGAGGAACAGGGCGGCCCTTCGAAAACGGCTTCTCCGGTGGGAACCAACCGCCGCCGCCATGGACGATGGACTTCGAGACGGGCACGTTTTGCGCCGATTATCGAGGACCTAATAATAGCTTCAGGGTAGTGCAGCTGATCTATCCCCATCAATTGTACAATCGTGCGATCGTCAATCAATTCACGATCGAACGGCTCGATGGCGAAGGTTGGTATTGAAATGGAATTCTATGGGGACTGCTATGAATATGACGGAGCTGTGATCGGGAATGGAATCAGATGTATAAATAATGAGACGACAAATCATGATGCTAGAAATGGTAATCACCGGTGTGGGATTACTTGTTTGATGAATTATTAGTTGCAAGCATATGTAGATGCATTTTATGGAATTGCAATTAGATCAACAGCCATAATTTCTAACTCAACTTTCGAAGCAATGAAAATGCCTTAATATTAACGATCTCAATCTCCCAGGTGATATCCACATCGGCATAATTCAGAGCATCACCTTTCCTGGCAGTGAAGACATCGCATTCAACCCGACCAACACCACCTTCATTAGCTCTGACGCGGAACGGACAGCAATGAACTTTGGCAATGAATATTCAGTTAAGGTGTACCAAACATGTGGAACCACGGTGGAACTGGAGGATCCCGACCATCAGCACCAGCAGCGACACGTCTGTGTCTTATGGAATCATGTTCCAGAAGAGCTCACACTGAAACGGTCCGAGCGCACGGTGTCGTACAAATTTATAATGACGGCTGATGAAAGTGCCAGCCTGGCCCGCCAAGAGCTGACTGATGGTAAGTGATATATACCGAGCAACATGGCAGGTCTTTTGGGACGGGTATAGGGATGCTCAAGGGAATCTCGAGATGGTCAATCTTTTCCGTGCCATACATCGAGATGTTTTGAAAGCCAACAATAAGCGAAGTCTGCGTGGATCTTCCGGTTCTTTCGGTATATGTGCAGCATGCCAAGCCCATCGTAGTCTGCTATGTTTTATGTTCAATATCCATTACGTTGAAACAATTCGTGATACATGGAACGCTGCCAGGTGAATCTAGTTTACCATCGAGTGTTATCTTTTGTCGTAGTTATTGTTGATTGCACGAATTTTTAGACTTCTGCGAGAAGATTTCAGTGACAGTTATGCTTGCGCGCTCACTAATACTAATTAATCCTTATGTCAGACAGTGCAGCAGCAAACCATCAAAACCAAAACAAAACAAAATAAAATTTCTCACGATCTGTCAAATCACAAGCCAACTAGGCTATCCAAGACAAGGAGAGGAGGTCTGGCAATGTGCAGCTTGTTGTTTTTTCCTTCGCTCGCATTCGAATGGAACAGTGAGTTTGACGTCACACTTGTTGCTAAATGGTAACAGTAGGGGAATGAAAGAGACTATAAAATTAGCATTGCCCGATCTTTCTCTTTGACATAGCTAGGCTACGTTTGTGTGAGTAAGAGATAGGTGTACGCTGGGTGTGCGAAAATATTAGACAACTGTGCAGAAAATTTCTGCACAGTGAATATGGTGCAAAATGCGCAATAAAAACTGCAATTTAACTGAGATCTCACCAAAAGTAAAGTTTACTTACTGAAATTCAGCGAATTTTTTTTTTCGAGCATGAATATTTGGATGGACTTTAGCAAAACTCATGGAATTTTGAGATGATTGGATATCATTATTTGGTATAATTCTATTCTAAATGGCATACCAAAATATTTTCCAGAAATATTTCAAGTGAATTATTAAGATAATTCTGCATTTTTATTTTAATATTAAGAGTACGAATAAAAATGTAGATAAAATTTCCACCAGAGAAGAGCGAATTCATTAAGTGTTCTGCCCAAGATTCCCAAATTTCTAGAGAATACTGGACAGAATTATACGATTGTTAAGGGGAATCCTGAATTTAAAAGTAATTCTGAAAGCATTTCGGAATCATTCTAAGGAAATCCTAGTGAAATTTGCAAAGATATTATGAGATAAGTTTCAAATAAGTAATTTAGTAATTTCAAACATCCAAAACATTTCAAGATTCCGGAGACAGAAGTTCAAGATCCAAAATTACCAAAAATTCTCTAAATTCTGAGACTTTGATTGAGAACAAATTTGAAGATCCTGATTTTAGAAAATTGAACAGTTATCATTAAAAATAATTATAATATCATATATCTGTAAAGACTCAATTGCGTTAGCTTTGCGGAGCCGTAATTCAATGTATAATAGCTATATTTCTTATGACTAAAGTTAGTAGAACGGGAACCGAATACTCACGGCCAGGGGTTGAAACAGTCGACGTTTTTTACTACACTCGCTTCGTTGTCGTGCGCGACAGTCTGTTTGTATTCGAACACTCATGCTCTACCGTCGTCTCTCTCACACAACACGAGCGGTAAAATAACATTCGAGCTAAAAGAAAATTATCAAAATAGCTATCATATGACATGTGTGATTTCGTTCTAATTCCTCAATGTGGTGTAAATCAGATCATTTCTGATCAGAAATATTATTACTAGGACATCATTGCTTGCTATTTTCAGAATTCACACAAGCACACCATCAGCAGCTCTTATTATGATAAAAACTAAAATACATACATTCGTGACGGTCTTCGGCGACAGTGTCGTATGACAGAGCCTGTCATATGACGTTTTAGTTTGGTACTGTACTATGAAAGCTTGTTTTGCAAGTGTCGGAGGCAAAGGCAGTCAATTATCACAGAAAATGTGTCGACTACCGTGACCGCTAACAAGACTGCTCACGGCTTTGTAACCAGTGGTGTGTCTGTTTGTCTGAAATTAGTGAGATTGTCGCGATTAGTGTTTCGTATTTTATGTATTACAATATGCCAAGGAAAGGTTTGAATACAAGCTACCAACACCACCCATCGCCCACAAAATCACCCACTGAACAGTACACAGCCACACCACTAAACGACAGGAAGATCCGCTACCTACCACCAGATGGCACGGTTTACTGGATTTGGAGGCCATTAGGAGGTGGCATAATGGGGCCATGATGAGGCGAAATAGGGCGGAAGGACGATGGCTCAGCGAGGAGGAGAGAGGATAGGTCAGCCGCCATCGTCGAGAATTTTTTGATTGGCGATACTCAACAGCGATACTTCGTAAAGCTAGTTCAAGCAAGTTCGAAAACCAGTAAAAAACCGTGAGGACGTGAAAAAAAAATTAAGAAGGAGAGTGAGGTGCAGAACCATCCAGGACCCCGTAGTTTACCGCTGGCAATTCATTCACGGTGTGGTCAGACCCCGTAGTGTCCGTCATTCGGCATACGGCGCGGTTAGACACGAAGCATCTTCCGATACGAAGGTATCCGGGAATACTAACCAACGGCCCATCGCCACGCCTGTGAAAAGTACCCAGAAGGAAGCTGAGGAAGGTGAAGGAGTGGTTGTGGAAGGACCAACAGCGGGCCCGCGCTGAAGAATTAGAAGAAACGTCAGGCGAAACGAGGTAGGAGATAGCTAATAAGAAAGTGGGACGAAAGTGGGACGAAAGAGGGAACAATAAAGGTGCCTATAGCTAAACAAGTGTTGTGTGTGTTAGATATTCGAGTGTTTCCTTGGCCGTGATATTCGAGCGCGCATGCCGACCCTGAGGTAGTGTAGAGGGGGGTCTCATTAGTGCTGGGCAGGGAGTACCCCAACTGTTACAGCTTACTCGAGGTTAAGGACAATAATTTTTTAACAGATTGGATGTGGACTTGGGATAAGGTACATGGGGGTGAATTGTCGCCGTTGCATTGGTGAATGAACGTGGAATTATTAAATTATGGAACTATAAATTTCATAAAAGTGTAATAGTAAGGAATGTTATATGCGTACATTCGATATCCAAGAAAAGGATAAACTTTCTAGAGTCTTTGAAAATCCGCCGATATTAGCTATGGGCACATCACCCACGGCGCAGCTATTTATTGTTCAACTTACCCGTGCAGCAGCTGAATCCAAAAATGACCTCTCACCAACTGACAGGAAATGTGTAAGAAAAGTCATGACCTACCAGTTATTATCCATCTCATATCTTCCCTCTCTTTTGGTATAAAAGTTATAAAAAGTATTTTTCGACAATAATTAATGATAATGAATAACTGAATCTTGATCCATCGCTTCCTGTTACCTCAATCCCAGGTCCCGCAGCATAGCCTTCACCTGGTGCTTGATGATCGGTATGCCATCCGCTGAGTGCAACTCGCGTCCTGTAATGATGAACAGTTCTTTGAACTGCTGCGCCCGGTGGGTCAACTTTCTGGCGTGCTGTATTAGGAAAATCTCTAAACACTGCAGCGCTTCCTCCGAGTGTAGATAGTGCAAATCCAACACTTCCACATTGTTCAGCGTCAGCTTGTGCACCTCCATGATGACATATCGATTTTGGTGTTCGATGAAGCCGGGCAACCTGGACATAGTACTTGGCGACCCCAGCCATGCCCCACTGAATGGCATTCCGTGCCTTCTCGTGGCATTCGTTTTTCAGTTCCTGATGGTCCTGGGACATATTGCGGCACTCTTCGGCCGTTTTCAGGTGAAGATTGATGTCGTCTTCGCTGGATGACGGTACCTGCTCGACCGTTGGAGGCGGCGACGTTGAGGACGAAGGAAGTGGTTTCTGTTTTTCGGCTTCTGCTCGCTTCATAAGGGCTTCCCGTTCTCGGGCGATTTGGTTTCTCAGCTCTTCCGGAATGGAATTGTTTAGGACGGTTATAGTGTCGAATTTGTGGGCATGTAGGATTTCTGCCAGGACTTTCTCGTCAATGATAGGATACATTTCGGCTAGCTTTTGACGAGTCATATGCGAGGTCAGATCTTGCGGAGCTTGCTTAGCCCAGCCGTTGATTTCGCTTCGGTACGCAGTTAGGGCGTACTCCATTTCCATAATGTAGTTCAGGTTGGGGGAATCCTCGATGGTCTTTTTGAACAAAACGGGATACTTTTCCTTCGCTTCCATTTGCTGTGCCAATCAAGCATCTTTTTTCATAAATTCTTGTTTTCCTCCTGCAGCTGTACATGGAATCCAAGAACGACAAATACAACTGTTCTGCCATTTCAGTAGCCATGAAAACCTTTGTTCGTTCATTGCTTATCCTTGAAAGTGGCGTGTAGCTGGCTTATGAGATTAATTCCCAACGTCACTTCCAGCACTTCGGGATCATTTTGCAAATCTTCTTTTCTTTTCGTTGTGTTCCGGGGTGATTTCGAGCTGACGGTAGACAGATCGATTTTGTAACCCCCTCCACCACCACCACTACCGGAGGGATCACCGGAAGGCACTTGCGATACCATTGTTTCATTGCAATCACATTCAAACGCGAGTAGGCCACCAACCGCACCGGCTTCCAAATTATCCGCTGTCTCGAATTCGTATGTCTTTTGCTCTTCTAGCAACAGATTTGCTGTCCAATCACCGTGCCCATTGCAGTTCTCGAACAAATCCCACAGATACTGGACTGGAATCTGGGGATAGAGGATGCAAATTTTCCGAGAAGCTAGTGTTTTCATTTTTGCATCCTCGTCTGTGGCTGACCAGAGCAATCCGTTTCTATTCCGATTTCTTCTTTTTGCTGGGCTTGACCGACGTCACACCTGTGAAAATCCGTCCTCACTTGTTTTCTCAGAACGGCCGTCCCGGTCGCGTTCAAATTTCCAATTTTCCTTGCAAGTGGGTGATTTGCCCTTTATTACCTATCGGTGGTCTCCAAGATTCCAGGTTCGTCTCCTGGCAAGATCGCCAGAAATGTGAAAATCCGCCGATATTAGCTATGGGCAAATCACCCACGGCGCTGAATCCAAAAATGATCTTTCACCAACTGACAGGAAATGTGTATGAAAAGTCATGGCCTACCTAGTTATTATCCGTCTCATAGAGTCGGTCATGTGATAAGGTTTCATATTAATAAAAATATGCAAAATGCGAGACTCTGAAACATTGGGCTTCTGGAGTTATTCCAGAACAGTGCTCATGGTGTTAAGCTAATCTGAAACCATGTTTGGCTCGATTCTCTCTAAAATCATAGGTTGGACTGTCTGTATTTTGATGCATTTCCTATGTGTACCACCCATTTCTAGCATAACATAACATAAACCAGGTTGCACAATGCCGTAGGTGATACGAGCTCCAAACTGTTGTTAAGAAGGAGACTCACCTTCATCCGTTGCTGTTAGATAGTAATGTGTGATTAATTACTACCTCTTAGATAAATGATGTGTCTCCCTCCAACAGACCAGAGCTGCCCTGGCCACGTCCTTGCATCTGGTGGGGAAAGGGGAGGAATGTTAGTCCGACACTTACTTAAGAGAGATGCAGAGAACTCTACGACCCCTCATAAGTGTCACGGGAAGGGTGGATTTTTGTTAGTAGAGAGGGTAAGCCATAGGATACGCCCAGCCGGCGTTGCTGGCAATCGTTATATCAAGCATTTAATAAATAGAAGCTGTAAGTAGTTTATCTATCCATTGTTGCTATAATGGGCAAACATATTATTCAAAACAGTCTTCAAATTTTGGAATTAAGAAACGTTATCAGCTCGATCCTGTTGCTCCTTTGCGCCTGAAAATGTTTGTTGATCCTAAACATATGTACAATTTATTCTGATCGATAGGAGGTTCTCATGTGTAAAAGGTTATTAATAGTATGTGGAATCGTAGATTAGAATGAAAATTCGCCCTTGGCCTAACTCCCATTGTCTGGCAGTGGCATTATGGATAAAATCTGCCTGCAATCATTTCTTATGAATGCTAGAAACTTGAACCCGGGAGTTAGAAGGGACAGGTCTACCGCAGCTACAGTAGCCCATTTCAAGAACGCAAGCATTCCGAAGCTATTTTTACACATGATATGCTCCGCTCCAATACATTATCGATGCAAATATACACCATTGATAATGTACAGAAACTTTCAATCAAGCAGTAGTGTTTTGAAATGATCGTCTTGAAATAGATGGATATTTCCTATCGAGGACAGAGGAACGAAAAGGTAAATAAACTTAGCTGAGCGTAACTAAGCGTAGGTTAGAACAGTCGGCACCACATGCAACGGATAAGAATTTGAAAATTTTTACTTAATGCACTTTTCAACATCACTTCTGTGCTTTCAAATTAACACTTTTTAAAAATGAAATTGTAAATTTATAACATTTTCACTAGAACGAAAAACACGTCATTTTCGCAGCGCGGTCTACTTCGATCTCCATGTGTACCACCCACTTCTAGTGCCTCTCAAATAGAGAGTTGAAATGGCCCAATTATCCTTAAAATTGCCAAATTAGTCTAAAAAAGCCAGCACATCCAGACAATTTAAATGAGAAACAGCTCTCAAGATATTAAATACAACGCTTGAAAAACCAAAATAGGTTATAAGCCGCAAAAAATTATAAAACGTCAAAATTTGCAAGATTTTTTAAGGGATTTGAAAACTGTACTGGTATTTGTTTGCAAAACTTCATTACTTATATAGATTCTCAGAAAATTCGTAGCATCCCTAGAACCATAGCGTCGCACGGTGCCATGGTCGCCCTATTCGTGCACGTTGCCGAGCTGATAAAATTATTTCACTTGAGTTTCAATTTTTTGCTCGCCTTTCTCTCTCTCTCTCTCTCTATCGCTCTGTCTCTCTCGTTATGCTTATTTCACGTCGAAATCAGACTAACAAAATAAATCCCATTCCTTTCGTCGGTCGACATGGAGTTCGTTCACGGTTCGGTTCTTCCTTTTATAATAACCCATAATTCCTTCGCCACACTCTGGCCGCCGCCATCCGTTCGGATATCGTGCCGCACCAGGCGCTTTAATCCGAGCTTTCCGAAGGAAGACCGTCGACCGAGCGCTATAAAAATCACAAACTTACAACCGCGGCACGGGTCATAAACAACAAAGGTCTAATGCGAATCATTTTTCAAATTCAATAGGAACGGGGGGAGTAGGAGGTATAACGGGCGAATGCTAATGGGAATTATGCTCCTTTCGTGCAATTGTAACACACAGGTTAATAATCTGCTACGAATGTGATTTTATTTCACAGCCATCCTCACCGAAGACAATGAGCTGCTGCGTCGCCACAGCAACGTTTGGCGAGGCTTCTGGAGCGATTTTGATATCAGAACCGAGGGCAATCCGAACCTTGAACGAATTATCCGGGCAAGCGTGTTCTATTTGATAAGTAACTTTCCGCTTGGGATGGCATCGTCGTCGGCTAGAGCTTATCTCTTCGGTGGATTGAGTCCAACGGGACTTGGTCGCGGTGGCTCCAATCTGGCTGATTACGAAGGACATTCGTTCTGGGATACGGAGCTCTGGATGTTCCCGGTGGTAAATCTAATCGAGAGCGAATTTGCCGAGATGATGGTTGATTATAGATACCGAAGGATGGAAGCTGCTCGGCGGAACGCCGAAGCAGGTGGCTATCGTGGAATAAAGTATGACATCAGATGACATCAAAACAACCACCGCAACTTAATTTCGAATCATTACGCACGCTCCGCAGATACCCCTGGGAAAGCGCTTCGTCGGGTGTCGAGGTGACTCAACCCTGCTGCCCGGAAGTGGCGCAATTTCAACACCACATTACCGCAGATATAAGTTTCGCTTTGCGGCAGTACTTTTCCGCCACGCAAGACCTCGTCTGGTTGCGCAACCAAGGATGCTCGATGGCTCAGGCAATTGCCGAATTTTGGGCCAGCCGAATCTCGCCCGATCCCGTTACAGGGCTGTTCGACATCAAGGGTCAGTATTAGTATGGTTCCCATGATGATGATGATGACGACTTTGTTGGGCATTGATGGCGTGCACATAAAACGCAAACAGTTAATCGACCGCCATACTCTTCTTTTCCGTTTCTTCCGCAGAGGTGATGGGACCGGATGAAGATCATGAAAATGTTACCAACAACGCATACACCAACGTGATCGCGGCTTATGCGCTGTATTTTGGCGAGTAAGTGGATTTTAGACAGGCTTGTTCCCCGACAGAGCCCTTTGACGGGAGCGGTGTTTGTTAAATTCCAACAACCACCGCCGGTTCCCATTTCGATGCATAGATAGATGATCTCCAATTCCAACGTGATTCCCATCAATGGTGCAGTGTGTGGTTTGCTTCTGAGCGACATGTTACCAAGGACGACGCTCCTTTGATCTTAATGATTTAGGTTACTGCATCATAATTGGTGGACCATTAAGTTTATCATTCCACATACCATGCTAGTGATTGGATCCCTCTCACGCCAAAGGATTATCACGCAGGTTACCGGTTTCGTCTGCGGTTGAACAAGCCCTGCATGGGAGTAGGCAAGGTGGGGGACATCGATCACTTAGCACAGCTGACGGCTGGTTTATATCAAATGTTGTGACATCCAGCGTTGGTAGAGGGATTGATAATTGGCAAAGGTAGGAAAAGCGGAAAGCGGATTGATTGATGTTGAAGAAATGGAATTGCAGACGGGTATGCGGGGGGCCAACGAGGCATTTCATGATTGGCATGGATTATCCTATTTGAATGTGTAATTCATAATTTGAAAACTCCTATCTTCATGATTGAACGTACTGAATTAAAGTTGAAAGCTTTTTGAACTCTTTCGGGTATGGTTGAAACGGTTTATGAAAAGACTTCTTCTATGTATTCCTATTCAAAATTGTCAATTTTTCAATCCTGATGAACGTCGATTTAGAGAATCGATCAATGTTACTTAACACCTAATGCATTGATTTCATGTTTTGTGATTATTTTAAAGGGCACATTGAAGTAGTTTTTGGCTTTATATTTTAAGCAACTTCTAAAAAATTGTTATTATGAGCAAGGGTGTAACCAGGGTTGAAAATAGAGGGGGCAAGTCTCGGAGTCTTGAAGAAAAATTCTTCAAATTTGTAAACATCGGAAACTGCTTTAAATCTGTAAGTGGCGAGCAGAGTACTTCCCCCAAAGACGTTCGAATTTGGATGGATTGAATTTGGAATCGAATCGGATTCGAATTTGGATGGAGATCCTTGCTAATTCTCGGTGACACTCGGTGGGGCCCTTCGACGATAGCGGCTGCGGTTGCTGTTCGTTCTGCTTCACGTCGGCTCCAGACACGGTCTGTGCCGAGTGTCCCCTCTCCTTTACTTTTGGCTGCTTAGCAGCGGTCCTTTGCTTTTAGCGGGATCTACTAAGAAAACAACAAATTAAAACATTGTAACATGTTTTGTTGCCTAGCGTGCGACCAAAATAAAAATAAATCATAACAGACAAGGCACACGCTCATGGTAAATAAGTTAAAAGTTTGGGTTATTAATTGTCACCCTAGACGAGGGTTACAAATCGCAGATCTCAAAAATTACCAGTGCCCTGAAGTTTCAAAAAATTGTTTGAATTCAGTATCTTTTCAAAATTTTAAAAAAGGCAAGAACCCTGCTAAGAGGTCTATATAATATAAATCAAATTTTTATTTTAAATAAGTTAAAAAAGTCCTGCATTTGGAACATTTATATGAATAATCCATATTCGAGACATTCATAAAGGGTGTCCACGATGAAATTGCCACACTATGAAATTGCTCTAACTTTTTAACCGTTGGGTAGAATTTAATGAAAATTTGGGTGGATTTAGTTCATAGTGCATTATTTACATCCTGCAAGTTTTAAAGTCCTGTGATCAAAACTCGCGGAAATGGAGTCGAAAAAACAGCTCGTGCGTGATAAAATCTTGCGCATTCATCACGAGAACAAGGATCTCTCGCATCGTTCCATCGCTAAAACGTTGGGAATTGCGAATTCCACGGTGTCGCGAGTGATTAAGCGGTTCGAGGAACGGTTGACCACCGATCGGAAGCCCAGAAGTGAAGGAAAAAGTATTCCGTACAACACCAAAAATCACAACCGCGTAGTTGAGGCCTTCAACCGAAATCCGAACGCCTCCGTTAGGGATGTGGCTAAGAAGCTGCACCTAAGCCGAAGTTTTGTCCAGAAGGCCAAAACTAAGGCTGGGCTTCGAACGTTCAAGGTACAAAAGGCCCCTAATCGCGACGAGAAGCAGAACAAGTCCGCCAAAACCCGTGCCAGGAAGTTGTACCTCAACATGCTGACGAAAGTTGAATGCTGCATCATGGACGACGAAACATATGTGAAGGCCGACTTCAAACAGATCCCCGGCAACCTGTTTTTCACGGCCAAGGATAAGTTCAGCGTTCCGGAGCATGTCCGCACTCAGAAGATGTCCAAATTTGCGAAGAAATTCCTGGTTTGGCAAGCCATCTGCACGTGCGGGAAGCGGAGTGCACCTTTCGTGACCCAGGACACGATGAACGGACAGGTGTACATAAAAGAGTGCCTCCAGAAGCGTCTGCTTCCTCTCCTGAAGGCCCACAACGTCCCAACAATCTTCTGGCCGGATTTGGCCTCATGCCACTACTCCAAGGACGTGCTGAAGTGGTATGCGGACAATAAGGTCAATTTCGTGCCGAAAATGTTCAACCCTCCCAACACTCCGGAGCTCCGCCCCATCGAAAAGTACTGGGCGATTATGAAGCAGCACCTTCTTAAACGACCTAAGGTAGTGAAGACAGTCGAGGAACTGAAGAAAGTATGGGTTTACATGCAAAAAACGGTTGATTCACAGGTTGTGCAGAATCTTATGGCCGGGGTTAAGGCCAAGGTGCGGACATTTGCGTATGGACTGTAAATAAAATACGAGTAAAATGGTAAAATGAAGTTTAATAGTTATTTCTCAATCCCTGAAAATTTGATGGCAATCGGATGAAAACTCGAATTTTGCGAATCAATTTTGTGTGTGGCAATTTCATCGTGGACACCCTTTATAAGACCTAACAATTTTTTTAACTAAAAACTAATCTAGATTCACAAAATCTTATTTTTTTCAAATCAGATTTATCTCAGAACCTTTCACAGGATTTCTTTGGAATTTGTTTAAGAATTTCTTTTAAAAAAAATAGAAGTCCATCTTCGGTAATACCCATATAATTTTGATAAAAATTATCTATAGAAAACACCCTCAAATTTGCTCGGCAATAAACATCGAATTCTTTTGGAATTTTCCACAACATTATCATAGTATTTCTACAAAACTTCGATGGAATTATTCCGTAAATAACCTTTGAAATCTGCTCATGAATTCCTCAAACTATGCTTCAGAATTCTCATGGAATTCTCCCTTTAGTTTCCATAAAATTCTCAAAAGGAATTGCATTGGAATACTCCATGGTTTTCCATTCAGGCTCTCCTAAGAATTCCCTCGGAAATCTTCTCAGAGTTCCTTCGGAATGCACCATAAATTAAATTTCTATTTATCCTCAGAACTGCCATCGAATTCTCCTCATAATGTTCCTGAAATAATGGTGAAAACTCATTTGGAATTATCTACAGAATTCTTATAATATTCTCCTTAAAATGTAAATTTACTCTCCTCACTATTCCTTGCCAATATTCCAAAGCATTAATAAAGTTTTATCCGCCTCTCTGTTGTCATGCTTCGATATCCCGTTGAATTTCTTCTCAGAATTCAAATGGAATTATCCTCATTTACTTAGCAATTATGCTCAAATAACCTTTTGAGTTTTCTTTTTACTCTAGAACTCTACTTAAAAATAAATTAAAGCTTTCCTCATTTGAATTCTTCTCAGATCTACCTAGGAATTCTTAACAAAACTTTTCCTGAGTATTTTCCTGGAATCAAAAGGTCCTCAGATTTACTTTGGAAGCATTCCATAGATTTCGCTTCAAGATCTCCTCAAAGTGGAATTTCGTTCAGAACTTTCAGAATACTCCTTAGAATTTCCTTTAAGTTCGCTTCAAAACTCTTCTGAAACTCTCAAGATGAAATTCCAGAATCACGAGTCAAGCCCTTTCCTTAGCTTACCAATCAGGCTAAGGCCTTGTTGTACTCTGCTGTCCGAAGAAGTCGTCGCCACTCTACTCGATCCATGGCCACACTTCGCCAGCCTCGTAGTCTGCGAAGGGTCCGCCGGTCGCCTTCTACTTGGTCGATCCATCTTGTTCCTGTTGGGTCGCTTTGTAGAAGCATTTTCACTGGGTCGTCGTGCGGCATTCTTACGACGTGCCCAGCCCACCGTAGTCGCCCATTTTTTGCAATGTGGACGATGGATGGTTCTCCCAGCAGCTGGTGTAATTCGTGGTAAACTCGCCTCCTCCACGTTCCGTCATCCATCTGCACTCTACCGTAGATGGTACGTAACACCTTCCGTTTGGTCCTCCACGAGCATAGTCCGGGTCTCGTGGCCGTATAGGACCACCGGTCTAATCAGCGTCTTGCAGACAGTCAACTTCGTGCGGCGGCGAATTTTATTCGACCGGAGCGTCCTCCGGAGTCCAAAGTAGGCACGATTCCCTGCCATAATGCGTCTGTGAATTTCTCTGCTGGTGTCATTTTTGGCGGTCACCCAAATACACGAACTCATCGACCACCTCGATTTCGTCACCGTCAATCTGAACTCCGGGATGGAGGCTAACATTGTCTTCCCTAGAACCTCTTCCTTTCATGTATTTTGTCTTTGATGCGTTGATGGCAAGTGCAAGCCGCCTAGCTTCAGCCTTCAGTGTGATGTACGTTTCCGCCATCGTCTCAAAGTTTTGTGCTGTTTCGCCGATGTCATCAGCAAAGCCAAGAAGCTGGATGGACTTCCTGAAGATCGTACCGCTCGTGTCTATCCCTGCTCTTCTGATCACACCTTCTAACGCGATGTTGAATAGCAGACACGAAAGTCCATCACCTTGCCGTAACCCCCTTCGAGATTCAAAGGGACTCGAGAGTATCAAGCCCGTGAACCCTGAAAATTTTCTTAGATCCCTTATTTGTATGTTTTCAAATGTGGGATCTTCGTTCCAGAATCTTAAAAATTTCTTCCGGGCATAAATTTCATGGAAGAGAAAGAAATTTATACTTATTAGGTGTAAGTAGGAATTTCTTTCTTTTCGATGAAATTTTTG